CCCTCCTCTCACACTAGCAATATATCAGTTTACCACGATGGCCAAGGCCAGCGAGGGTTACTTGTTAACTACTCCCCCTTAGAATTCCTTTGTCACACTAAACTTATCGATGGCCTGTCATATACCTGCAAGCCAAGCCTTTGGTCATTCAGCCTCTACTTTATTTGATGGAGAAGCAGCATGCCAATACAGGTTGATTATTTTTTTTTTTTTTTTTTTCGCGCGGAATCCCACGGCCCACTTACCCGCCCAACCGACCGAGGGGCGCAGCCGTGTATCGTACGGCACGATTCGCGATATGATAGACGCGAGATAGGAAAATAAAGGCACAGGTCCGGGGAAAAAAGTAATAGTTAGATCAATCTTGTGCCAATGAAGCAAGTATTAATCGTTTTAGGAGCGGCAGAGAGTCAAGATTTGATATTACAGGAAAAAGTCTATTATAGTCAGAACATAATACTCTGAAAGGCTCATGCAAGGCATAGTTAGATCTACAATGATTTAAAATTAGGGGAATATAATTTTTAGTTAATCTACTTGGCACAGAAAAGTTTAGCCGACTTAACAAGTCGGGGCAGTCAATATCACCATGTATAAGGTTATAAATGAAGATAGTACCAAGCATCGTTCTACGGTTGGCTAGGGATGGTAAATTAATCAAAAGAAGTCTACTAGAATAAGAAGGTAAGATAAGATTTGCATCCCAGTTTAGGCGCCGTAAAGCAAAAAGAAGGAAGTTTTTTTGTACAGATTCAATACGACCAATATGTATTCCGTATTGTGGACTCCAGACGGGAGACCCATACTCCAGAATCGGACGGACTAGCGAAATAAATAAAGTTTTAGTCAAATAAGGATCATCGAATTCTTTTGACCACCTTTTAATAAATCCAAGCACTCCTCTGGCTTTATTAACCATGGACGAAATGTGATTAGAAAATTTTAGTTTAGGGTCCAAGAGAACGCCAAGATCGTTTACAAGAGTTATTCTATCCAAAGAGCTGCCACTTAACGTGTAAGTCGCGTATATCGGATTGGCCCGATAAAAAGTCATCAGCTTGCACTTGGAGCCGTTTAAATTTAGTAAATTATCTCGGCACCAGTTTTGAAAATTATCTAGATCGGATTGCAAGTCTAAATGGCAGGAAATGTCCTTATACTGCAGGCACAACTTAACATCATCTGCGTACATAAGTACGCGAGAATGACTTATAATTGAGGGAAGATCGTTAATAAATAATGTAAAAAGTAACGGACCCAGATGGCTCCCTTGTGGGACACCGGAGGTAACACGGAAAATTTCAGAAATTGAATTTTTAAAAAGGACCCTTTGTGACCTGCCATTTAGATAACTTGAAATCCATTTAAGCAGATCAACTGGAAAACCTAAAAGGTCAAGTTTATGAATAAGAAGTAAGTGATTTACAGAGTCAAATGCTTTACTAAAGTCAGTGTAAATGACATCTGTTTGAAAACTACTATTGAAGCCTTTTATCACAAATGTAGTGAGCTCTAGAAGGTTTGTAATTGTGGATCTACGTTTAATAAATCCGTGTTGACACGGAGAAATAATTGATCTGCAAAAGTGCTGCAAATGAGGAGTAATAATTTTTTCAAAAAGCTTAGGAATAGCTGACAACTTAGAAATACCTCTGTAGTTACTGGCTTCTAACTTGTTACCTTTTTTGAAAAGAGGAATAACAAATGATTCCTTCCAAATATTTGGGAATTGGGACGTTTCTAGAGATAAGGTAAACAACTTGTGAAGAGGTTTGCACAGGGCCTTAGCGCAATACCTAAGCACGCACCCAGGAATACCATCGGGCCCTGGCGAATAAACAGGCTTAATACGAAGAAGATCCAAAAGAAGAGAGCTTTCTGTTAAAGTGGGACAGAATATGAGGTTTGACTTGGGCATGGTGTAAGAATAAGGCTGAGATGAATAATCTAAAGTAGAGTAAGTCGTTTGAAAAAATTGGGCAAATATATCGGCTATTGCCTGATCTGTGGTTCCCGTCATGTTTTCGAACGACAGCGAGGAAGGAAAAGAATTAGATTTACGCTTGGTGTTAACAAAATTATAGAACTGTTTCGGGTCCTGAGAGAACTGGACCTTACAACGGTTTAAGTAACTATTATAACACTGAGCATTAAGCACGGTAAATCTTGACCGAGCACTTAGATATCTAGTAAAAACAGATTGAGAACCGGTATTTTTATATTTCCTAAAAAGTCTGGACTTTACATTTCTTAAGTGTGTCAACTCATTGCTAAACCAAGGTGATTTATTGGAAGTTGACGGATAGTACCACGGAACACAGGAATTAAAAAATGAGTTTATTGCAGTATAAAAAACATTAACTGCATCGGACATATTATTGCATAAGTAAAGATCAGACCAATTAAAGCCAGAAATAAAATTATTAAGCCTCAGAAAGTCTGCCTTGCGAAAACAATGTATTCGTTTGGATTTTTCTGATTTTTCTTCTATAACTCTACCCGTATCAAATGAAAGTTCGATTGTTGGGTGATATGGATCTTCAGGTTGCGTGAGTGGTGCTACTCTGGACAGAAACACACCTTCAGGATTCGATACAAAACACAAATCAAGTAGGCGACCTAATGAATTTCGAACATGGTTTACTTGAGATAGAGATATGTCAAGCAGGCCATCAATAAAATCATGTTGTGCTATAGGTAGTAAGACATTCGATCCATCCTCAGTGGACCAAGTAACTCCGGGTATATTAAAATCACCTAGAACTATCAACTGATCCCTATCGGAAAGCTTATTTTCATATGATTTATGTATTTTAGGCCATTGATGGTGCATTACAATACAGTGTGGTCATCGGATACTGGGAGGATCGTAAATTTACAGATGTACTTAATTTTGCGGTAATTAATTAATATTATTAATATCTTTAAATTAATAGATTTGTATAAGCTTCTATCAGACTATTGGGACTTCTATGGGATGCTCGGCAAGTACGGCATGGTTCCCGAGAAGATTTACGTGACATATGAAAATAGAGGTGCAAATTTATTAACAGTGGTATTCTTGAATAAGTATAAACATTTTATGTACTGATTCAATGCGGTCAATATATTTTCCGTATTGTGGACTCTGGACGAGAGACCCACACTCCCAAATCGGAAGGTCTTTTAAATAAATAAAGACTTAGTACCCATTTTTTAAGAAGACCAAGCACACCTCACCTTGTCGAAATATTATCAAAAAACTTTATTTCCAAGTGGACGGCAAGATTCCTTCCAAATATGTGGAATTTATGAAGTTTCTAGAGAAAAAGTTTGTTCAAAAAGCTTAGGAATAGCTGATCACTTGGCTATAACTTTATAGGCCTTTAACTTGTTAGTGTTGTGAGGAGTTAAATAACCCCTCACAAATGAATGAGAGTTTGGAGAATACAGCTGGAGAGAGTTTGGAGAAATACAGCTGGTGAGAGTTTGGAGAACACAGCTGGAGAGAGTTTGGAGAAATACAGCTGGTGAGAGTTTGGAGAACACAGCTGGTGAGAGTTTGGAGAACACAGCTGGTGATAGTTTGGAGAATACGGCTGGAGAGAGTTTGGAGAGAACGTGTAACGGTAGAAGGCGGCGGACTTTGGACCGAGGATGGTGCCGTGCGCAAAACCGAAAAAGGAGAAGCCAAGAATTAACGGGATACGCCGGCCTATAAAAGCGGGCCGAGCGCAGGAAGCGGGATCAGTCGATCACAAGGAGTCAATCCAGCAAGATCAGTAGACAAGCAGTAAATCAGCGAGGAAAACAAGTCAAGTCAACATCAGGAGGAAGCAGAGCCGCGCCGAGTCAACAGGAGCAAGATCGCCACATCAAGACGTTCGGGACTTAGAGTTGAAGTCGCCGAGCTGAGAAACAGGTAGCTGAGGCATCACGCGGCTAAGTCCAGGCGCTTTGTTCTAATTCTTGTCGCGACGTGAGCTTGGCATATTGCTCGGCGAGTCCGACGGAAGTGAATAGAAAGAGTCCTTCGACCGAGAACCGTGGGCTCGAAAGGGAAGTTGTCCAGAACGAGCGGCCGTGCGAAAACAATTGCCATATCGAATTCCGGCGTACGCCTGAACCGACAGGCGAGAATTGTGCAGGCCCTGGTGCGACTAGCCACGAAGGACGCGCGTCTGAACCACTGGGGTCTCGAGAGGCGTATGCGTCGAGAGCACGGTAATTCACCGCCAGAGTCCTAGACAGGCAACTGACCGAATCTCGAGAGCCAAAGACCGCTGCACCTAGTCTCACTAGAGCACGCAAACCACGACGTGAGCAGAGCAAGGGCATCGAGAACACAAGGAGCGACGAGCAGCCATCGCAGGCCCAGCGGCAACCAAGCCATTCCACAACACATCCAGTCCACGGCTAAGAGGCGAGGGCGGAAGCGTTCGTCTTGAACCTAGCGTCCTGCCACAGGGACTGCATTGGCGGCCTTCCGGCGTATGCTTGAACCGTCAGGTGGAAACTGTGCAGGCGTCTGGTGCGACCGGCCCGGACAGAGCCAGGGACAGGAGGCTGTGGCTGCGAAAGGCGTACGCTTTGAGAGCCCGGTGCCTGTTCACCCTAGTCTGGGAACGGTGACGCATCCCTAGACCCTCAGAAGCCCCGAGGCCAAAGACAGCGGAGGCGTTTCGGAGCAGCGAGCAGCGAACAGCGAGGCAGCGGAGAGCGACGGTGGAGCGACAACAATTCTTCAAGGGAGGCGTTGAGATACCCATCTGTCACCATTAGTCCCAGGCCGAAGGACAAGTCGGCGAATAAAGATCCCAATACAAGCATCCCAACATTCTGTGCGTTCTCACTAGACAATCGGGCGGTCACGTTTATATAAATTTGGTGGGACGAACAACACACATCTTCTGAGCTAGCCGCACGATACTCGTAGCGAGCAGACCGTAAAAATAAGTTCGTTACATCTGGCGCCCAAAACGTGATTGTCCGGTCGGTGAGAATTAGCAAACAAACAGAAAATGGGGAAAGGATGGATTTATCTCCTCAAGAAAGAGGATTTCGCCAAAATAGGAGCCAAGTTAGGCATCACTTTGGAGGGAAGAACGGATGACAAGAGGAAAGCCCTCTCAGAGTACCTCACAAGGAAACAGGATGACCCAAGAGTAGCAGAGATCTGGGCTGAGCTGGAAGAGAAATACGACGATAAGCCAGGCCCAACAATCAAATTGCTGAACCCTGACGCCGAGGAGCTCATAGCAAGTCTCGGAGTGGACAGCATGAGGGAAGCTGGCAGGAGTCGAAACCCACGCCAAGAAAGAATAACAGGGCAGCAAAGACCTAGCACTCCAGATTACGCCAAAGTCGCAAAGCAAGTGAGGGAATGGTCGTTCAAATTCGATGGCACAGAGAAGCCACTAGAATTTCTAGAGCAGGTGGAATGGTCCGCAAACACGTACGGGCTGAACCTGAACATGATCCCACGTGCAATGCCAGAGCTATTGCAAGGCAAAGCACTGAAATGGTTTATTTCAAACAACAAACAGTGGAGAACATGGGGAGAGTTCAGCGAAAGTTTCCAGACGTACTTTCTGCCGAGAGGGTTCTTCTCGAAATTGGCAGACAAGGTGAAGCAACGGAAACAGGGTTTCAGGGAACCGTTCAAAGATTACATGGTGGACATGCAGACTTTGATGAGGCCACTCGGGTATTCGCCAAAGGAGACCCTAGAAATAATCAAGGACAACTGCACACCAGACCTGAGAATCTCACTAAGAACGTACAAAGTGGATGATCTGGACACATTAATGATCCTGGCTGACGAGTACGAAGAACTGGACAAAGAGCGAGAAGAGTTCATTCACGAACACAAGTTCTCTCGAAGCAGAATCGCAGCACCACCACAAACTACATGCAGGAGATGTGAAGACAGCACGGTAAACCAAACCCCGTCCTTTGGCCAGTGGACACCGGCCAATACAACACCACAAAGGCAACCAACGAACACATTATGGAGGCCACCAAACACCACTCAGATGGCACGCAACCCAATGCCAAGAGCCACCAATACACAGACCCACGTGGTGAACCCACAGGAGGCATGTCGCCGTTGTGGAGGACACGAACACTGGGCACGAGGATGCAGAAACCAAAGACTACTGTTCTGCTGGGAGTGCGGCAAAATTGGCATCAGGAGTGTAGAGTGCTGCCAAAAGGCGGGAAATGGGCAGCGATCCCAGTCGCAGAGAGGCGCACAGGGGTCGCAAAGTGTCTCCTCTCCAAACTAACTGGCAAGTTGATCGAGGAAGAGCAGCAGTTATCCGCGTACGTTGAAATTGGAGGCGTCGCATACAAGGCCACAATTGACACGGGAGCAACGTCAAGTTTCATTAATGAGGAGCTAGCGGATAGACTGACTGACACAGGAATGATCACAAGGACAAGACGGCAAGTTAGGTTGGCAGACGGCAGATGCAGCCGGATAAGCTCACAGCTCGAAATCACGGTGAAATTTGGAAACAAACAATTGGAGATGAATCTGTTAATACTTCCAGGAGTAGTGGACGAACTAGTGCTGGGATGGAACTTCCTCACAGGAGTCGGGGCAGAAATAAAATGTGCCGGGCATGAATTGCAAATACCGGCAAGAAAACGGCACAGTGGATGTCTAGAAGAAAGGCTGTCGGTGGCTGTAGATTCACACTTAAGTGATGAAGAGGACATCGAGAAATTCCTCGCCACACAGTTAGCAGATTTCAGCACCATGTCAGGAACATCTACAGTGGCCGAGCACCAAATCACCATGAAAGACGACAAGCCAATCAAGCAGAGGTATTATCCTAAAAACCCAAGAGTCCAAGGAGAAATCAACGCAAAGGTGGACGAGCTGTTACAAATGGGCTTCATAGAACATTCAAGAAGTCCATACAGCTCGCCCATCGTGATGGTGAAAAAGAAGACGGGCAAGTGGAGGCTATGCGTGGATTTCAGACAAATAAACGCGAAGTCCATAAAAGATGCCTACCCGATGCCGCGAATCAACTATATCCTGGATCAACTCAGAGAGGCGAAATATATAAGCAGTCTAGATCTGAAAGACGGATATTGGCAAGTCCCTTTGGAAGCAAATAGTCGGCAATATACGGCATTTACAGTACCCAGCAAAGGTTTATTCCAATGGAAAGTAATGCCTTTCGGACTACATTCAGCATCGGCCACGTTCCAAAGGGCTCTGGATCAGGTAATCGGCCCGGAGATGTCACCATACGCGTTTGCATACCAAGATGACATCATTGTGATCGGACGCACACTGAAAGAACACGTGGAGAACCTAAAGGAAGTGTTCAGGCGCCTAAAGGAAGCAAATTTGAGAATAAACGCCGATAAATGCAAATTCTTCAAGCAAGAATTGCTTTACCTAGGACACCGCGTTACTAGCGAAGGGATAGGCACAGATCCCGAGAAGGTAGCAGCCATAGCCGAACTAGAGCCACCGTCGACAGTACGCGAACTACGGCAATACCTAGGCGTAGCCTCATGGTATCGACGATTTGTGCCAGACTTTGCGCGTATAGTTAGACCACTGAACGATCTTCTGCGCAAAGGCACAAAGTGGACATGGACGCCGGAACACCAACAGGCCTTCGAAGAGGTAAAGGCACGATTAGTAGCCGATCCAGTGCTGGCGTGCCCAGATTTTGAGAAAAGGTTCATCCTTCAGACGGACGCCAGCGACTATGGGTTAGGTGCAATCCTGACTCAAGAGACAGTACGACTTCGAGGTAGCGTACAGGAAAGGACAACTGAACGTAGTAGCAGACGCCTTATCCCGACAACCGTTGCCGGAGACACTTAGGGCCATAAAAGACGCATCAGAACCTACCAATAGCTGCAGCTGGATCAGGAGTATGTTGGAGAAAATAAGAGCACAACCACAAAAATATCCAGATTATGTAATGGAAGGCGAGTCACTATATAGGCACATTCCTCACAGAGCGGGCTATGAAGATGTCGTGGCTTGGAAACTGTGCGTTCCGCAGGATCTAAGACAAGCCGTCCTGGAAGAAAACCATGACTCCCCATCCGCTGGCCATGTTGGGAGTAGAAGAACAATAGCACGCCTGGCAGCCCGATACTACTGGCCAGGAATGCACAGAGACGCCAGGATCCACGTACGCAAGTGTGAAGTTTGCCTGAAATACAAGCCCAATCAGCTGCAGGCTGCAGGGAAAATGCTAACTCAGGTACCAGAGGAACCATGGGCAACAGTATGTGCGGACTTCGTCGGGCCGCTGCCTAGATCAAAGCATGGAAATCAAATGATACTGGTGTTAGTTGATCGGTTTTCTAAATGGACGGAAATTGTACCACTACGAACAGCGACAGCGGAGACCCTACAGAAGGCGTTCAGAGAACGCATCATATCAAGGTTCGGGGCTCCAAAGATAGTGATAACCGACAACGGAGTACAGTTCACCAGTCGATCGTTTAAAAGATTTCTTAGCGAAATGGGAATAAAGCAGCAATTCACGGCGCCCTACACACCGCAGGAAAACCCAACAGAACGGGCTAACCGTACGGTAAAGACTATGATAGCTCAATTCGCAGGAAAAGACCAAAGAACCTGGGACGAAAATTGGCCTGAAATTATGCTAGCAGTAAACTCAAGCGTATCTGAATCAACCGGGTACTCCCCAGCGTTTCTCACTCAAGGCCGAGAACCCCGTTTGCCAAACGCACTATACGACAGGGAAACGCTAGGCTCGGGGAAGAGCACAGAGACCCCAGACGAGAATGCAGCTAAACTTCAAGAGATTTTCGAAGTCGTGCGCCGTAACATAGAAAAGGCATCCCAGGACCAAGCCAGATACTACAATCTGAGGAGGAGGAAGTGGACGCCGGAGGTGGGCAGCATAGTATGGGCAAAAGAACACCACCTATCCAAAGCAGCCGAGGGTTTCGCAGCGAAATTAGCCCCGAGGTACGATGGTCCTTACCAGGTTGTAGATTTCGTCTCGCCTGTAATCTGCAAAATACGCCACACACATTCGAAGAAAGAGCGGACAATTCACATTAGCGAGCTTAAGCAGCAACAAGCAGAAACGGCACAAGAGCAGACGGCGGACACGCCGGAGGACTAGGACAAGGACATCACATTGATACAGACTGCGAGGCAACAGGATTAGGCGTCAGGCCGAAGCAAGAGTCATCCATACGCCACGCAGAAAGGATAATCACCAGGATAAGACACGGAATATAAATGGGAAACGATGCTAGGGACCCCGACTACGAGGCAAACGGATTCAGCGTCAGGCATACGTCCGAGTCATCCATCGATACGCCGCGTAGATAAGGTGTAACAAAAACAAAAAGGGGGGCCTATACAAAGAGGCGGGCAGATTCGGCATCGGGCATACGCCCAAGTCATCCACCCATACGCCGCGTAGCACAGGGAACACACAAGGAGGATATACAGGGATCCCAACAAGGCAGACGGATTCATCGTCGGGCATACGCCCGAGTCATCCGCCTATACGCCGCATGGAATAGGTTTACAATACGAGCAGCAACTGCAAATCCGTAGCGTCGCTAGACTCTATACGGATTAGAGCAGAGCTGCCGAAGAAAGGGGAGAGACGGCACAGCAGAGCTGCACCGTAGGTCCAGATGCGATGCGAGTAATTTAAAAAAAAAAAAATAAGAGTAATCATAATACATAAGAGAATAAAAACATGAATATATATGAACATAAAAGAAACCCTGGCACAGGGAACACAGAAAACACGGGCACATCAAACATAACAAACGCGCACAATACAAACAAATAAATAACACAAAACACAAAAAAAAGGGTACAGGCGGCATCGGTCTTCTCATATACGACATCGAGGCCCGGCGGCCAAGGGCGACTGGAGGGCGAAAGGCTAAAAGAGAGAGTAAAAAGTGAGAATGGTGAAAGTGGAGAAAGAAAGGAAAAACTTACCATTGAAACTTTCATGTCATCTCGCTCAGATAAAGGGATGGGGGCGCTTCGATTAATGAGCGGTCGATTGGCACTAGACGATAGTGACGATCGATGGGCACAGAACACTGGAGATGACGGCACAGGAAGGGTCACACTAAAAAAATATCGCCGCAACCGGATGGCAACGCTGCAATAATTCGAATCATCGATATCGGCTGGAAAACCGATCGGGAAAGCAGTAGTGTGACCAGACAACGAAGGAAAGGAGATGCTTAGAACGCGAAGCATATGGGGGAAACATCTTGGGCGGGACATTCAAAGGAGATGCAAAGGAGAACACGAGACATCTATGGGGAAACATCTTGGGCGGGAAAAGGAATGGAGCATCGGCGCTGTGGAACTCAAGTACGAGCTATGAGCGTCGAGGGAACCATTTGGAGGAGCAAAAAGACTCGAAGGCTACAAGGATTTACAAGAAAGACAGCCGGAGAGAAGAAAGTCAAGTCTATGGGGGAAACATCTTGGGCGGGAAAAGGAATGGAGCATCGGCGCTGTGGAACTCACGTACGAGCTGTGAGCGTCGAGGGAACCATTTGAAGGAGCAAGAGGACTCGAAGGCTACAAGGATTTACAAGGAAGACAGCCGGAGAGAAGAAAATCAAGTCTATGGGGGAAACATCTTGGGGCGGGAAATACATAGAACGAGAAGGAGCGACGTCGAGGGAAGGAGGACCAACATCAGCGATCCAGAACAGCGGATCCAAGGAGAACTCCAAGATAACAGCCGGATAAGAGGTGCAAGTCTCATTTCGTTCCCGAAGAAAGGGGAGAATGTGAGGAGTTAAATAACCCCATCACAAATGAATGAGAGTTTGGAGAATACAGCTGGAGAGAGTTTGGAGAAATACAGCTGGTGAGAGTTTGGAGAACACAGCTGGAGAGAGTTTGGAGAAATACAGCTGGTGAGAGTTTGGAGAACACAGCTGGTGAGAGTTTGGAGAACACAGCTGGTGATAGTTTGGAGAATACGGCTGGAGAGAGTTTGGAGAGAACGTGTAACGGTAGAAGGCGGCGGACTTTGGACCGAGGATGGTGCCGTGCGCAAAACCGAAAAAGGAGAAGCCAAGAATTAACGGGATACGCCGGCCTATAAAAGCGGGCCGAGCGCAGGAAGCGGGATCAGTCGATCACAAGGAGTCAATCCAGCAAGATCAGTAGACAAGCAGTAAATCAGCGAGGAAAACAAGTCAAGTCAACATCAGGAGGAAGCAGAGCCGCGCCGAGTCAACAGGAGCAAGATCGCTACATCAAGACGTTCGGGACTTAGAGTTGAAGTCGCCGAGCTGAGAAACAGGTAGCTGAGGTCCTTGAGGCATCACGCGGCTAAGTCCAGGCGCTTTGTTCTAATTCTTGTCGCGACGTGAGCTTGGCATATTGCTCGGCGAGTCCGACGGAAGTGAATAGAAAGAGTCCTTCGACCGAGAACCGTGGGCTCGAAAGGGAAGTTGTCCAGAACGAGCGGCCGTGCGAAAACAATTGCCATATCGAATTCCGGCGTACGCCTGAACCGACAGGCGAGAATTGTGCAGGCCCTGGTGCGACTAGCCACGAAGGACGCGCGTCTGAACCACTGGGGTCTCGAGAGGCGTATGCGTCGAGAGCACGGTAATTCACCGCCAGAGTCCTAGACAGGCAACTGACCGAATCTCGAGAGCCAAAGACCGCTGCACCTAGTCTCACTAGAGCACGCAAACCACGACGTGAGCAGAGCAAGGGCATCGAGAACACAAGGAGCGACGAGCAGCCATCGCAGGCCCAGCGGCAACCAAGCCATTCCACAACACATCCAGTCCACGGCTAAGAGGCGAGGGCGGAAGCGTTCGTCTTGAACCTAGCGTCCTGCCACAGGGACTGCATTGGCGGCCTTCCGGCGTATGCTTGAACCGTCAGGTGGAAACTGTGCAGGCGTCTGGTGCGACCGGCCGGGACAGAGCCAGGGACAGGAGGCTGTGGCTGCGAAAGGCGTACGCTTTGAGAGCCCGGTGCCTGTTCACCCTAGTCTGGGAACGGTGACGCATCCCTAGACCCTCAGAAGCCCCGAGGCCAAAGACAGCGGAGGCGTTTCGGAGCAGCGAGCAGCGAACAGCGAGGCAGCGGAGAGCGACGGTGGAGCGACAACAATTCTTCAAGGGAGGCGTTGAGATACCCATCTGTCACCATTAGTCCCAGGCCGAAGGACAAGTCGGCGAATAAAGATCCCAATACAAGCATCCCAACATTCTGTGCGTTCTCACTAGACAATCGGGCGGTCACGTTTATATAAATTTGGTGGGACGAACAACACACATCTTCTGAGCTAGCCGCACGATACTCGTAGCGAGCAGACCGTAAAAATAAGTTCGTTACAGTGTTCTTGTGAAGTGGAGTTGCAGATGATTTCTTCCAAATATGGGGGAATTGGAAAGTTTCTTTGGATAAGGTAAATAATTTGAAAATACCAGAATACCATCGGAGGAATAAATATGCTTGACACGGTTAAAGTGGGACAGAATTTGAGGTTCGACTTGGAAGGAATGATCTAAAATAGAATAAGGCGTTTGAAAAAATTGGGCAAATGCCTGATCTGGGGCTTCCCTTGTTTTCAAACGACAGCGAGGGAGGCTAACAAAGTTATGAAACTTTTTCGGCTCCTGGACTTTACAACGGTTTAAGTAATTATTATAATACTGACCATATAAGCACGGTGAAACTTGTCTAGACTTTAGGCTACAAGTACGCCGACGAGGTTACCGACGCTAAAACCACATCGAGGACGACGCGGATACTGCGAGGAACCACACGATTATTCGGTGGTCGTCGTCCACGGGAGCCTTGTCACTCCAGGTCACAGCCAAACAATGAACAGCCTAGGAACAGGCGAGATCCATGAGCCACCCCATTAGAACTATTCAACATTTTTTTTTACAAATTTGTGCACAAACATTGTCAACAAACTGAACTTTCAGAAAAAAGAATCATTCATGTAATAAAATAAATTGCTACATGCCAAAA